GGTTTTGCCTTCTTTCTTCCCATATATCCCCTGATGACAGCTGTTCTCTCTCCTCCTCCCTGAAGCCTCTTTCATGGGGTGTCACCATCTCCAGGAAGCCTTCACCCCTCCTTGAGGTCTGGGCCAGGTAGGCCAGGAGCCAGGAGCCAGAGTCGGTCCCAGAGTGCCAGGCTGCCAGCAGGAGAATGCTGCCTCCAGGTGGACAAACCCTGTAACCTTTCCCCTCCATTGGCAACATTAGTCACCAGTGGGGCCGAGTGGCCTTGGCCCCCCACCTCCCCCACCCCATGTTCTGGCTTCACTCACCTAGGAGCCCCACATTTGGTCCATAGCGCTTATGTCCTCAAGGGCCAGGGATCTGGCCTTGGTTGACAGAAAATAATGACAAGTCTCCTATACCCCCAATCCTGGCTTGCTAGAATTTTCCTGTATACTTACCCATTCAGGTGCCCCAGAGATGGTGTCTGATTGTGTACAGAAAGAAGAGGTTTGTTCATTGATTCGTTCATTCATTCATTCAACATTTATTAGTGCTTGTACTGTATCTGGTCCTTCTCTGGGCACTGGATCTGCTCAGGAGAGGGAGGTACCTGCCCTCAAGGAGCTCGCAGGCTTAAGGCGCAGACTGATGAATAAAAAAGGTGAGAACCAGACTAGCCAGAGTTGACGCTTTCTAAATGCTCTCTCCATATTGGACAGGAAAGGCAAGGTAGCCTGGTTAGAACTACATGTTGGGAAGCACAGTGTCTTTTTTGGGAAACAAGGAGGAGCAGCCCTCACTTAGCTGGGGGTTGACTCCTGAGCAAAGGTTTAAGGCTGAGCAGGAGTTAGCCAGCCGGAGGAGAAAGCCATGTCCCTAGTAGACCTAACAGCATGGACAAAGGCTTGGCACGGACTCAAGTTGGTTACTGCCCAAAGAAGCCCTGAATTTTGAGACCTCCTTTGCGTATTTTTTGTGGGAGGTGAGTTTGTCACAAAATAGTGAGGAAGGAAAACTCACCTTTCTTCCCTGGCTGGAAGGGAAGCACCAGCTCTAGAGGAGGTTGACTTTGGATTAAATCCAGCTTTGCCTCTGACCAGCTGTGTGGCCTTGGGCAAGTCACTTCACCCCTCTGAGCCTCAGTTGCTACATCTTCTCCCAAGAACCATACACTGCATCACTCAGAAAAAAACACAGAATTCAATGAGATAATGTATGTAAAGTTTTAATACAGGGTTTCTCAACACTCTTGACATTTTGGCCTGGATGCTTCTTTGTTGTGAGAGGCTGTCCTGTGTACTGTAGGATGGTTAGCAGCATCCCTGGCCTCCACCCATGAGATGCCAGTAGCATCTCTCACCCAGTCTGTGACAATTAAAATATCTTCAGACATTGCCAATGTCCTGTGGGGGGCAAAGTCACCTTAGGTTGAGAACCACCAGGCTAATACAGTGCCTGGTATGGAAATGTTTATTTTCTTTCCCCTCCCAGTCTGGAGGGAGCACTAACTCTTGTCCTGTTGGAGCAGGAAGGGCCTTTAGTAATCACTGTGCAAATAGAGAAACAGGGCTCAGAGAGGAGAAGTTAGCAACCTATTGTCACACAGCATGTTACTGGCGGAACGAGTTAGGTAGAATAGAGACAAAGTAGCCTTGATGAGGGGACCCCAAAACACAGTGGTTTAAATAAGCTCACTCATTGCTTTACTGCCACAGGGCCCAGAGATGGGTGGTCAGCGGCTGTTGGAGCAGCTCTACTCTCTTCAATGAGGGCTCCACCTCTAGATCTCAGGGAGTTACTCCACTTATTCCCATTTCTAATGGAAGAGAAGAAGAGAAGGTCAGGAGGAAGGGGAGGGAATGCCCTCTTTGTCTGTTTTTAAGGAAGCGTGATGCCCATCATGGGGCTTGAACTCATGACCCTGAGATCAAGAGTTTCAGGCTCTGTGGACTGAGCCAGTGAGGTGCCCCTTTCTTTCAAAGCACAAAGTGGAATTTGCCGCATTACTTCTGCTGATATTACATTGGCCAGATCTTAGTCACATGGCTACTGCAAGAGAAGCTGGGAAATGTAGTCCCTGGCTGGGGGCCATGTGCCCAGCTAAAACCTGGGGAGGGAGAGAAGAATGATCCCTGGGGGGACCGTTGGCAGTCTGGCCATAAAGACAGGGTAAAAACCCAAGATCTCCCAGGACCATGATTCTCTAGACCACATAAGGGCTTTCATCAGTCAATCAACAAACACAGGGCGGTCATAACAGCAATTTCAGCATGTAGAGGGGACACTCGTCTGGGCTCACTAGCTGTCAGGCCCCAGTTAGACACTTCCCACCCTCACAACAGCTCAGTGAGCGAGGTTTTTTCTGCTAATTCCATTTGACGGGTAAGAAAACTGAGATTTCCAGAGGCTAAGTAACTTGCCCAAGGTTTCAGGGCTAGAAAGCGGCAGGGGCCGTGTGGAGCTCAGAGGTGCCTAAGCCCCTGGCCCTCGCCCTGTGCCCAGCAGCCCCTCGGCACACCCTGAACTGAGGTCTTCACAGGATTGCTCGGGAGAGCTGGTCTGCGGCCCCTCCAGGCCACCCCAAGAGCTCAAGGGACCTCTGAGGTGACTTGACCGTGAGGCAGCCTTCTTCAGAGGGAAAGCCCTTGTGGAAAGGGCGGCAGCCTTCTCCCTGCAGGCAAAGGGGAGACTGGGGCCTGCATGTAGGCAGGAACAACAGCCTTGACAGGCTCTCATATGTCTTGGGCAGAAGAAAGTAGCGCCTGCCGGGGGCCGGGGAGGCAGCCAAGGTGCCTGGGCGACCGGATGTCAGCTCTCTGAGCAAAGGTTCTCATAGTCATGGGTTCAAATCCTGGCTCTGCCTCTTGCTCACTGTGTGACCTTGATGAGTCAGTTTGCCTCTGTGAGCCTTAGTTTCCTCATCTGTTAAATGGGGACAAGAATAGTGTCTCCTGGTGTTGTTAGGAATTGGTGAGGTCCTACGTGCCAGCAAAGGCAGTGCTCCGTGATGGTGGTGGTGTTAGCCTCAGCAGAGTGATGCTGTCTGGACCACGGCCAGGCACAGCCTGGGGAGGCCAGAGAGGAGCTGGTCTCCATGGGATGGTTGAGCACCCTCAAGGTGCTTGGCTTCACCAGGCAGGTAGGGCCCTTGTGCAGCCTGGCCAGTGGGCCCACAGGCTCTCAGGGCTGGGTGGGTGAGCCCTGGTGTCGCGAGACCATGGGTGTCCTCAGGTGCTGCTTGAATTGATCTCTGTTGCAGGGGAACCCTAGCCTTTCAGAGGGCACAGAGGGGCAGGCTGGGAAGTGGCTCAGGCCCCTGACCCTATGTTACTCTGCCCTATACTCCTGAGCCCACAGACCCGGTGTCCCCCATCCTCCATAAGGCCTCTCAGAGTCCCTGAGGACTCCCTGAGGGGAAGGGAGGAAAGCCCTGGGTGGGGTTACCCAAAGTGTGACTGTCCTTTCCTACTGCCTGCCTGGCCCAGAGTAGGCCCTCACTGAATGCCTGCTGAGCATGTGAATGGATGAATCAAGAGCCTGCCACTGCCACCAACTGGCTGTGTGACCCTGGGTCAGTCTCTTGCCCTCTCTGTGTGTCAGTGTTCCAATTTGTAAAACAAGCTGGATCGTCCCAGAGGTCCCTTCCAGCTCCCACCCAGGTCTCTACCACCTAGTTGCCCTCCCCCAATCCCAATGGAGGGAATAAAATGGGCCACACAAGAAGGTGCCGAAGTGGTCTTTAGTTGCAGGGGGTGGAGGGTGGTGAGCACAGAGGCTGCTGTACCGACTTCGAGGAGGAGTCTCTGGGAGAGCCCCTTCTGGCTGCGCTCAGGCTATCGCTCTGCTTGGGGCGTGGCTGCACCTTCCCAGATGGAGATGCTACAAGGGACACTGGGCATCGATCTGGAACGAGACCACAGACATCAGACACTGCTGCCCAAACTCTTCCCTACAACCCCCTGCAGGGTCTAAGGCCTTGAGGAGGGGCCTGGCACCTGTGGTTTGGGGTTTGTCTCTGGCACCTGGCCCTTACTCTCCTCTCCCCTCACCTTAGGAACAATGGCAGATGTGAAAAGACTGATCAGAGGCCAAGACTGGAGCCAGGGTTCAGGGCTCAGTATAGGATCAGGATCATGGATCAGTCTGAGATCAAGGTCAGGGCTTAGGCTGTGACTGATGTCATTGCTCAGTAAGTCACTGAAGTCAAAGCTCAGTCTGTGAGCAGGATCCAGGCTCAGTCTGGGTGTGTGAAAAAGGCTCAGGGTACAGAATGTGACCAGGAACGGGGCTCAGGCTGGGGCCAGGGTCACAGCTCAGTCTACAACCAAGATTAGGGCTCAGCCTGCTGCTAAAAAAAGAAGAGAAGCTGAGCCTTGCTTTGGCTTCCCCACAGGTGCCTGTGGAGGAGCCTCATCCTCTGTGTGGGGTATAGCACCACCTCTTACCTTCAGGTGGACATTACCCGCGGTCCTCCTCATCTCCCTCCTCAGGCATCGTTAGGCAGCTGGTCTTCCTTTTGAAGTTTATCTGAAGGAACAAAATAGATAGCAGGACTCAGTCTCCAACAGAAACCAGACCCTGATGGCCACCACTGTCCAGTGGGTCAGTCTGACAGCCGTGGAACCTCAGGCATGTCAGTCCACCTCTCTGAGCCTCAATTTGTTCAGCTGTAAAATGGGTATAATGACAGTGCCCACCCCACAGAGTTGTTGTGAGGATCCAATGGGATGGCATATGCAAAGCACAGAGTGATTGCCCGAGGAACTGATCTGTGGCTGTTTCCATAGAAGGGCCACCTCCTGACACTTACCCCACTTCTATTGCTTCAGCATCCCCAGCAACCCCAGCCTTGCCTAGAGACCCAAAGGCCAAAGAAAGCCCCCCCTACAGCTGGAGAAGCCAGTTTCTCATAAAGAGGGAAAGAGAAGGGCAGGTGTTTACTAGTAATGCCTACTGGATATTAGGCTCTATGCTTCTTCTTTTAATCCACTCATCACCCTCCAGTGTTTACAGTCTTGGTTCATCCAGGAGGAAACTGTGGCTCAGACAGGCAGAGCCACTTGAATAAGGCCCCATGGTTGCTAAATAGCAGAGCCAGGATTTGAACCCAGATCTGGCCCATCTTCTTTCTCACATCGTTCTGCCAGGCAGGTTCTGTGGATTTAAAGAAGGATGATGGTAGAGAACTCACAGAGGCCCACAGAACGCCCTCAGTCCTGTCATATTCTCCCAACTTGCTCAGATGCTGGGTCTTCCTGCTTCTCCAGGGTCCCCTGACCACACCTGCTGTGGGGTGGGCACAGGGTGCATGCCTGCCCTTGGAAGGCTGCAGAGGGAAAGCACCCCCGTCCCCAGGCTGTGACTTACCAATGATGTCCTGAACAATATTCGCATCCAGGGTGGAAAGTAAGGTGTGGATCAGTGGGCACACCTGAGGGGGAGAGAGAGAGAGAGAAAGAGAGAGGGAGGGAAGGAGGGAGGGAGGGAGGGAGAGGAGGGCCAGGACCAGGAAGGAGGACAGATCATTATCAGCTGGGGCCAAACTGCCAGGATCCCACAACCTTTGACCCTTAGGATTCTAGAACAATAGAAACCTAGAAGTCCAAAACTGGAGAGCCATGGGATGCTAGAATTCTAAATCCTTAGAATATTGGAATCCTAGAAACTTGAGAATCTAGAGTGTTAACATCCCAGAACCCTACACTCTTAGAAACCTTGAACTTTGGAACCCTGGAATTTTAAGGAATCAAATGGGGCCCTGGGAACCATAGAGCAGAGAGTTTCTCACCGTGTGTGTGTACAATCCTTGAGGATTGCTTTAAAATGCACATTCTGATTCAGCAGGTCTGGGGGGCTGCGGGGGGCGGGGTGGGCAGACTGAGAGCCCGCATTTCTAACCAGCTCCCAGGTGAGGCCCCCGGGCCGCTGGGTAGAGGACCATATTTTGAGTCGTGAGGCTCCAGTCACCTGGAGGATTTTTCTTTCCTAATCCCGGATTCCCAGCCCCGTTCCAGAATGACTGATTCAGACTCTCTGGATCGAGTAAAAATGGTTTTGTATGATGCATAGATGAAAATACCAGTTTTATCGGTCCGTGTTTATGTTTTAAATTAATTATATAAATGGTATTCATTTCTAAATTATGGTAGAGATACAGTTTTCTTTTTAAAATACATGTATTTAGGGGCACCTGGGTGGCTCAGTCGTTAAGCGTCTGCCTTCAGCTCAGGTCATGATCCCAGGGTCCTGGGATCGAGCCCCACATCAGGCTCCCTGTTCTGCGGCAAGCCTGCTTCTCCCTCTCCCACTCCCCCTGCTTGTGTTCCCTCTCTTGCTGTGTCTCTCTCTGTCAAATAAATAAATAAAATCTTTAAAATACATGTATTTAAATAAGCTTACATAGAATTGTATTGTTTAAAGGAGGAACACACTAGCTAGAAAGACATATCTGGGGTAGGTAGACACGGGGAACGGCCCAAGTTTGGGACCCAGTGATTTCAGCTAACGTCAGGCCCCTGCTCCGCTCTCCCCCTCCCCCAGCTGAGTAAAGGGGCTCGGGTTCCAGCTGACAGCCCGGTGAGGAGTTTGGCCCTCAGAAGAAAAGGCGCCCAGAGAGTACAGCTGGGCTGTGAATGGCACACCTGCCTCCCCTCCCCCCAGGCATGGCTCTGGGCGCGGAGAAGTGGAGGACTCACATCCTTCTCTCCCAGGCGGGACACGGTCTTTGTCAGGAAGTTGCTCACGGTGTTCACGGCCTTCTCCATCAGAGTATTGTGGCTGGAAAAGAGTGGCAACTGATAAAGCCTAGTTCGTGGGCAGAACGGCCACGCAGCGGGGGTTGGGGGGGTGGGAGGTGGCGGAGCACCTTGAAATCAGGTAAACCCAGGGACACCACAATGCCTTTCTAACCACAGAGAGAGCCTCTACTCAGGGGTGCCCCACTTCTGACCAGAGGCTCCCCTCAACCTGTGAGGGTCTCATCACAACCTTAAGATCCCACTCTTTGATTCGACACCTATCTACAGATCACCACCTGCATGCCAGGCATTGATGACGCTGAGGACCCAGGGATGGGCAAAGCACAAGCGGCTCCTCACCTGGTACCTAAACGTGACACAGGTCTTGTTAAAGGCTGGCTCCTTCCCACCTTCAGCTCTCCGCATGACTAACACCTCCTCAGGGCAGCCCTCCCTGACTGCTTGCCTAAGGGAGGGCTTTATATCATATAGTCCTGTTACATGCACTGCTCTGCTTTAGGGCTCATTGTAAGCTGACATTTTCCTTGAGGGCTCTTTACTGATGGCCTGGATACTTGTCTGTCTGCCTTTCCCTCAGGACAATAAACTCCAGGAAAACAGGGTCCTGGTCGGTTGCCACCGATAAATTCTCCAGAGCTCAGAGCCTATTTGGAACATAGCAGGTGCTCAAACATTATTGGCAGAAAGAAGGACTGAAGTAAACATAGAATTAAATATAGAGTGATGGGGCGCCTGAGTGGCTCGGTCAGGTAAGTGTCTGCCTTTGGCTCAGGTCGTGATCCCAAGGTCCTGGGATCGAGCTCAGAGGGGAGCCTGCTTCTCCCTTTCCCTCTGCCCCTTCCACCTCCACTCATTCTCTCTCTCTCTCTCAAATAAATAAAATCTTTGAAAAAAAAAATAGAATGACGGCTTGTGACAAGTACTCTGAAGGCCAAGAGTAGAGTAGACGGTTTGGAGGGAGAATAGGATCAACCTTTTTTTAGAACCTGAAGGTTGAGAAGTACGTGGAGGTGAGGGGAATGGTGTTCTAGGAGGCCAGACGAGCGTGTGCACAGGTCTGGAGGTGGGGAAGAACTTGTCTGAGGCCCAGACCAAAGGCCAGGGTGTCTGCAGTGGAGTGAGGACAACAGTGCGGTGATAGGAGGGTGGGGCCAGAGCACGCTGAGCCCAGACGGCGGTGGGAAGTGCTTGGGCTGAGCGGGCTTGGGCAACAGAGTGGAAAGCCATTTCACAGATGTGGACACTGAGACCCAGAGCGGCCGGATGAATTCCCTGGGGCTGCAGACAAGGCTGTATCCAGCAGGGCTCAGGCCTATCCATTTATATCCCAGCCTTCCCCAATAACATCAGGCAGTGGAGCCTTTCTTTGGTTTGGCGAGCTGTGATCAAATCCATTGAGGGAGTAGGGTAGAGTGACCTCTGCTCATGGCCCTCAGGACTGAGAGCCGAGAACCCAACCTTGTTTCCCCCAAAGCCAACCTGCCCCGGCCTTCGGCTTCTAGACCATTCTCCTCCAACAGCCGCCTCCAGGCTCACCCTTCCTCCCCTCACCCTCTTCCTCCACCAGACCTGCCCTTGCAAGCACACTGTTTAGGAAGTAGATTTTTGTGGATTGACAGGGATCAGTGGTTTAAATGGAGAGGATTCAGTTTGCAATATCTCGTTTCAGGAATTTTCCAATGAATTGAGGACTCTCTGGGGACAATTTGAAATTAGAGCCCATGGTAAGCATTTACTTCTCCTCCTCCTCCCACATGGAGGCAAGAAGGAAAATACAATTTATTATTATTATTACGGTTATTGAGGGATATAACATAATGATAAAGGGGTCAATTTTTCAAGAAGCAGTAACAATCCTAAATGTGCTGCACCTAACAACAGCGCCTCAGAAAGCAGGAAGCAGAATTGACAGAGCTGCCGAGTGATCGGAAGCCAACACTCCTGTCTCAGGAATGGAGAGAACAGGAAGTCAAAGTCAGCATGGATATTATTCTCACAGAGGGCTGAGGGTGTGCCAGGCTCTGTGCTAAACACTCGTATTTTCCCAGATGGTCGGCTCAACAGCCGGTGAGGAGACATTAGTGTCACCTTCGGGTTACAGATGGGAAAAATGAGGCTCAGAGGGGCTAAGTTGGTCACAAAGTTCTAAGTCGGTAGCTGATATTTGAACCAAGGTCTGTCTGACTCCAGAGCCTACACTCTTTTGCCACATTGTGCCACCTCATGGGGACAGGAATAGGGCTGAAGCCAGGGGATCCCCAACTCCTGTGAGAGCCCAGCTCTGCTGAGATGGACCAGCCTTACCTGTCCAGCACGGTGAGTGAGATGCTGTCTGGGTCACTGCTGCATTTTCCTATGATCACTCTGGGGGCGCCAGTCTGGGCATCGGTTGCAACTCTGACATCAGTCAAGAGGTCCAAAGAGGCCTTCAGGTCGACCACCTGGCCAATGACAGGCCTATAGGAAATAAGATTCCCAGTGAACAGAGGTCTAGAAGGTCCACTAGGGTTCCTCCGCCTCCGTGGATCTTTAACTCTCCAGCTTGTCTATGGATAACGTCAGCACCGTCTGGATTCCCAATTAACATTTACGTTAAGGGCTTCTTCGCCTGGCCACATGGATTTGGTTCGTATGACTGTTTTATAGAGCACCACCCTAATAACGAAAATAAGAATAATAGTTGGCATCTCTTGAGGGCAAATTATATGTTAAGCATTTCTAAAAAGCATTTTTTCGGGACACCTGGGTGGCTCAGTGGGTTAAGCGTCCGACTCTTGATTTCGGCTCAGGTCATGATCTCAGGGTCCTGAGATCGAGCCCCATGTGGGGCTCCCCACTCAGCGGGGACTCTGCTGGAGGTTCTCTCTCCCTCTCCTTCTGATCCTCGCCGCCCCCCCGCCCCGTCTCTCTAAAACACATAAATCTTTGGAAAAAAAACCATTTTTTTCCTGGATTAATCCATGTCATCGTTATAGCAATACCATGAGGTAGAAGTACTATTATTATCTTTATTTTCAGAATGGGGAAACATCGGTCTAGAGAGGTTAAGTAACCATCCCGAGATCTCATGGCTAATGAATGATGGAATCCCCGTGTCCTCAATTTATCTTCTTCCACACATGCTCATTTTCCTATCTCTCTATCTCTTTTAAAGTAATTAAAATACTTTAAAATTACGTTTTTCACACATGCCCTTCATTATATACCGTGCACTACTATATGTGTTTAGCTATAATGGTCACTGCTATTTAAAGAGAATCTCAAGAGACGAAATAATGCTGGAGGAAACTTTGCCAGAGTTATAAATGCTCATGTCTTCTCAGGTTTTCAAATTTTACAATTAGATAAATGTTATGATTTCAGAAATATTCAATTAATGAAGGATTCTTTCCAGAGAGACTTGGTTATGGCCAAAGTTCATTAGAACATTTTAAAGCTTCAGATTTTAGAGCTGGAAAGTCCCCTTCATGTACAGATTAGGACACTGAGGCCCAAGGCCACATGGTAGCATGGGAAAGAGCCCGATTCTGGTTTGGAGATCCATTGGCCATGCTGCACAGCCTCTCCCAAATCCCAGATTCTAATGTATACTCACAGGGCTAGGGTGACATTAGCGACGATGGGGACCCTTATGTTAACACCTTTGCCATCAGGAGTCAGTTCAACTTTGACTTTCAGGATGTGGGAGTTAATGATGTTCAACCTGTGCGAAAACCACAATTTCCCTTTGTCATTCCTCATGCCAGCCAGGGGCTGAACGCTTCTCTACACCAGCATCAGGCTGAACATTTGGGCCTCACCAGCCTTGCCTTCTTTGGCCTTCACAATAGCCCCGTTCAGAGGTTTTATCCTCTCCATGTTATGGCCTGGCACACAGAGGCTCAGACAGACGTAATTTCCCACAGAGATTCCAGGGAGAAATAAGTGCCAGAGTCCGAATTTGAACCTGGAACTGTTTGATTCCAACCTCCCCGTGTGGAGCCAGCCGTGTGGTATGAACTCGTCTTCTCCATCCTGAGGGGATTCAGACATTTATCCTCAGATACATTTGGAGAAGAAAGACTTACTCCTTGGAAAAGGGACCTCAGGCACTAGCAAACAGGTGGAGGTAAGGATTAAGAGGCTCTTTACCCTGATCCTAAAATTACATAATATGGAAGCCCCAACCCATGAGATGCCCAGATTGGCCCTGCAGCCCTGCCTCTAATTTGCTCAAGTTCTGATGAACCTGGCCTCAGACCGCCTTGACTCGGTGGGGAGGAACAAGGTTTATCAAACTTTTTGACTTTGATCCTAAATACACCTCCCCAAAGGTGTGTGTTCCCTTTTCTTGGAGCAAAGATCTCCACCTTGAAGCGTCAACTCACCCCAAAGTGTCATCCTTAGCTGGAGAGATCTCAGAAAGAACATCGTTCACCAAGTTCTTCATTTCCTGTACCTTCTCCTTGGCCGGGAGCCAAGCCTTGGATTCCTGAAGCTTCCCCAAGTCGGCGGTCAGTTTCTGAACGACAGCTGACAAAAACAGTTGCCATTTAGTGTTGTGCATCACTTATGGAGCAGTGACCATGTACCAGACACTAGGTAAGACTATTTGCCTATGTTATTTCATTTACTCTTCATAACAACCCAAATGAGGCAGATATTGTTATTATCTGCATTTTCAGATGAGGAAATAAAGGATCAAAAGGTTAAGAAGTGTGCCTCAAGTCATGTGGCTGGGGAGCCTTTGTTCCTTCCATGCTGCCTTCATACTAATATATACTCATCATTCATAAACAAAGCAATCAATTAACCAGGCAATTCATATTGCTTGCACACCAGCTTCTAGTAGTGACTTGAGGGGGTTGTCTATTGCTCTAAGTGAGATGTTCATGCAAGTTTGAAAAACTAGGTCAAACAGAATGAGAGAATAAGAAATAGAAAATCTAGAATCAGACAAAAAGTATGGTTCCAACTCATAAAAGTGGCAAATGGGAGTCCCAGGATGACAGCTTTGCAGCAGGCCCCGAGAACAATAATTCATACAGGAGTATGAAAACGAAGTGTCTTAATGGAAGGGCTCCAGAGAAAAGAGGGATTAGATAGACATGGCAGCTGTAGAACAGTGCATATGCAAAGAATTAAGGATATGTGTATAGAAAATAATTCAAGTGAAAAACAAAGCAATTATTAACTCAAGGAAAAACAAAGGCTGTACAAGAGAAGACATGTAACTATGGTTCTGCAACTTGGCTCTGCAATGAATGGTATCTACCTAGTTATAATGATATAAGAAACAGAGACTACCAATTTCAATAAAAGTATTTTTGGTCCTATAACTCATTAGGTGACCTTGATCCAGACACTTCTGTTTCTGAACTCAGTTTTCTCAGCAGTGAAATTAGAGAGTGGGTCCCTTCTATACCTTTGAAGCTCTAAACCCTAAGAAGGTTTGAAAGGTAGCCATTTGTAGCATTTACTTCCTCCTATAATGTTTCAAGAAAATGAAAAGAAAGCCAAATTCTTTTAAGAAATCAGAATAAAAAAGAGACATGATTAAATATAAAGCTAGGTAGCTTTTTTTTTTTTTTAAGATTTTATGTATTTATTTGAGAGAATGAGAGAGAGAGAGAGCACATGAGAGGGGGAAGGGTCAGAGGGAGAAGCAGACTCCCTGCTGAGCACGGAGCCTGATGCGGGACTCGATCCTGAGACTCCAGGATCATGACCTGAAGCTGAAAGCAGTTGCTTAACCAACTGAGCCACCCAGGCGCCCAAGCTAGGTAGCTTTAAAGCTACTTAGGCTTAGGTATAGCTAATTTCCTTAATTTCCAATGAATTAATACATATCAATAAGAAAATTGAACAACCTAGCAGAAGAATATGCTATGAATATGATCAAAATATTTATGCTAAAATATATAAATAGCTAATAAAATATGAGAAAATGAGTGAATTCTTTCATAATTAGAGAAATGCAAAGTGAAACGAGTTCTAACCTTTTATCTATGAGATTAGCAAAACTTTTAAGTTGCCCATAGCAGTGCTATCAAGGGAGTAGAAAAAAAGACACTCTCCCAAAACTTTTGGAGAGAATGTTAATGTAGGGAATTATTTGTCAACATCTCCTATAATTCAAAATGTGCATACCTTTTTTTTTTTTTTTTTAAGATTTTATTTATTTATTTGAGAGAGAGAGAGAATGAGAGATAGAAAGCACGAGAGGGAAGAGGGCCAGAGGGAGAAGCAGACTCCCTGCTGAGCAGGAAGCCCAATGTGGGACTCGATTCCGGGACTCCAGGATCACGACCTGAGCCGAAGGCAGTCGCTTAACCAACTGAGCCACCCAGGCGCCCTGTGCATGCCTTTTCAACTTTTGAAATCTCAGTTTTAGGAATTTATCCTCTGCAGATATTAGGAAAAAATTTGCCATGATATAATGTATAAGAGGATATTCATTTGAGCATTGCTTGTTCCCCGAAAAATAAGTGAATGAACCAGGAACTGAAGAGCCACCTTTCTCAGTAAACCACCCATAAAGAGCAGCCCCTGATGGCAGCCTCTGGTAATGCAGACATAGCACTCGGGAGGCAAGCTCCTAGGTGCCACTGATCATCACTTGTTGACTCACATTCAAGTGTATTTTTAACGGTCTCAAGTCCTTTCTCAACAGCAGGTTTCAGCTTGTTCACAACATTATTCAGGTCGTCGCCAAGATTTCCAAGAAGAGACGCTGAGGTCCCGGTGAGCAGACCGCTTGGAGAGCCCCTCACCCATGGAGGAAACTGAGGCCCAGAGAAAGGGGATGGCTTGGCCAGGTCTTACACAAACAGGAACTGGGTGTTTGGGTCCCCAGGGAAGGTCCTCCCACCCCTGTCACACTGAGGCTAGCTGGCGGGGCAGGAGAGGCTTTGAGCTTGAATGTCCCGTTTATCACCTCGGCCTCTGCTATTTGAGTTGTTTGTAACGCCTGCTGCATCGGGCCCGTGTCAACCTGGAACCGGCCACAGGCAACGCCAATGTGCCATTTGGCATGAGGCTGGGGAGCCCTGGCAGAGGGCTCAGGAGCATCCTGCGCATGGTACCTCTGCTCCCTCACCTGCAAGTCAGCAAGGACCCGGCGGGCCTGTCCTTCACGTGGACGTGGCCTGGGCAAGGGGTGTCACTTCGCTGAGCCTCAGGTTCCTGATCTGTGACATGGGACTAACAGGCCTTACTTCCAGGCGCATTGTGAGGATGAAGGTGACCCATGTGGAAGGGTTAGCACGCGGTAGGCCCTTGACCCATGATGATCGTAGGTCTTGCTGGTCTCTGGTCACTCCACTGCTCCCCACCTCAGTTTCCCCACCCGCACAGAGCCCTGACCCCATGGCATCATGGAGAAAATGAAATGAGACAGTGCATCCGATGCGCTTAATGCTCAATTAATGGCAACTGTGCTCCTGATCTTTGTGGGCCGTGAAGCCCTGAGGAGCGAAACAGTGTGTGTGTCTCAGGCTTTCCCCTTGCTGACTGTGTGAGAGCAGACAGGCGCCCTCGCCTCTCTGAGCCTCTGGTTTTTACCACAGAATGAGAATTAGAATGGTCTCTACCTCAGAAGAGCCGCTGCGGGGACCACGTGTGGAGAGGGGAGTGGAGAGCCCAGCTCGGCTCCCGCTGGAGAAGGTGCCCCGTGCACCCCAGTCACCGTCGTCATCATCATTACTGCAATAAGCAGGGAAATTGGGAGGGTGACAAGGGACACAACGGGCCTGGGTTCAAATCCTCCCTCGGCCGCTTCCTAGCCCTGCGCCCTTACCCCCTCAGCTTAGTCATCTGTAAAGTGGGCGCTCGTAGTGTCAGACCGGTCTGAAGAGCGGTCGAGGTCCCACGGATACGTCCCGTGGGTGCTTTCTAATGGGAGGAAGCTTCCATGGAAGCTCCAGGAGGCGGGGATTCTGTTTTGTTCCCTGCCACGTCCTCAGTGCCACAAAGACCCCTTGTTGAAGAAATGTTCGTTGAGTTGCTGTTATAATTTCTACACACAGGTCAGGGGCTTTGTCCCCAGGGGGCTTCCCAAGGGAGATCCAAGGCGCCGTGTCTCTAGTACTTTCCACACGTATCTGCCTCTCCGCAGATGTTACGGTACAACCCACCTCTCCTTTCTCTCTCTGGCTCCCACTTGCTCCTGGTGACCCTGGGTCTGGGAGGTGGCCCGGAGCGTGGGCTTGGCTGCCCAGGCTGACTTCTCCCCTCAGCTGTGGCCTCGGGCATCCCTGGCCCCTCTGAGCCCGTTTCTCTGCTCTGGGGGCTAGTTCTGGACTCAGTGCTGCCACAGTCCACTGTGCCATGACAGGACGTCAGTGTGGGGTTGGCACAATGCTGGGGTGCCGTGTCACTGCCCCCTTCCACCCCAGCAGACACCCTCCAAACCCCCCAGGCCATGAGTGTGAGGGGGCACGGGAAGGGTCTTCGGTGGCGGGTGGGGAGGTCGGTACTCTCAGAGGTCATCTGAGGTCCAGGCCCGTGCGTCTGGGTCATCCCGGAAAGAGAAGAGGTGACATCCTGCCCCTCTCTCTCCCCTCTCCAGGGTACAGTTAGTTGGTTCTCCTTGCATGGCGGGTATTTGCCTTTTGGGGACAAGAGCCCCAGCCTTGAGGGTCGTGGGATGAGTTTCTCATTGAAAATCTCCAGCGAGGCATTAAGGATTAGCTGTCTCAACTCTGGGACATGCTACCTCGGTGAGACTACTAATCCCCATTGTGGCAGCTTCCTGGTCCCACTGACCCAGCCCTTAACCTCTGAGCGGCTTTTTCCAAACACGACTCAATTCCCTGGCAAGAAAGGTCCTAAAAGGTCATCCAGCCTGCTGAGACCAGAGAAGGGGGGAGGTGGGGCTGAGGGGGCAGAGAATTGGGGGGGGTGCTGGGCTGAGGGTTTGCCCACCAACTCCCCCCACTACCCTTTCCCCAGGTGACGGTGGATCACTCTCACCCACTGAGTGAAATTCCTTTATTTTACTGTAAAAAGGCTGAAAGGATTGTCACTTTTTCCTTTGAAATCAGTCAGGTACGAATAATTCATCCAATTCATAAGAGGCCCCAGTTTCCCACACTTGACCTGCTCACTCAGGAATTCTTGGCAAATAAGAAAGATCAGAGTAACAAATGTTTTCCAACACATCGTCATTTTCATGACTGTTACACATAACAATGAATAAAGTTGTCATGATGTTAGAGTCTGAAGACCTTTAACTATACATGTTGCAATGTTGACGTTGCTGTTTTTCTGATTTTAGAGACAACGCATTTTGGTTTTTCAGCTCTCATTTTCCTCATTCATTTGTTCATTTACTCATTTGTTCATTCATTTAACAAATGTAAATTGTTGTGAGCTGGGACCACTCTTCCATTTAATCACCATCTGTGGGGCACCTCCTGAGTGCCACGTCCTGTGTTAGAGTCTGAGACGAACTTGTCCCAGAGATGGGCCACCTTCCAGGGCGGTGGCTGAGCCCCGGCCATCAGCTTACGAGTGTAGGAAACCATAGTCTCCTGCTTGCTCACTCCCCCAAACAACCAGAAGCAGGTGCTATTTTGTTCCCATTTTATAGACAAGGAAACCGAGGCACAGAGAGGCAAAGTGAATTGCTCAGGGTCACACACATAGCGAGTGCTGGGGATCTGAGCCCAGGTGGCCTGGTCCCAGAGTCCATGCTCAGAGTCTCTGGCACTACACACTCGTTTATATCCTGATAACTGGCACCCCCTTGGCCTGTGGGAGCCCTTCAGGGGTAGGAAGCACTCTGATCGGTCTCTGCTTCCCTCGCACCACGCAGCCCAAGGTCAGCCTCAGAGGAAGCACTCCATAAAAGTGTGTTAGTGGAAGGAATGTGTGCGAGCTCTTTCTCCTTTGTTAGATTGGAATTCCTTTGTGTCAGGGCTCAGGGCTCTGCCCTCTTTGTCTCTCCAGCAGCCAGCCTAGGGCCTGGCTTGTGGTGGGTCCCTATAAACACTATATTGAATGAAAGTGCAAAGAACAAGTTAATTGAGAGGCTGACCAACTGGCTGAATAGATAAATGTAGGGGATGAGATCCCAGAGTCCGAGAAGATTCTAGAATCCTCTCCCTCTCTCCCTTTTCCCATCCAACCTCACACCCCTTCAGCCATCCACTCATCCCATCATCACATATTTATGGAGCTTCTATTTTGGCTCTGCCCCATGCCGGGCTCTGGGCCCCAGAGAGCACTCATATGTGCATCTACCCTCGGACACCACCAGCACAGGGTAGGGGCAAACATAGACACCAAGCAGGTCACATACTTGAAAATATTCTGTCCTTTGAAAACCCTACAAATGGTCAGAATTTTTCCTCTTGGGGCTTCACTGCTGTCCCTAGCACAGAGCCCGGTCCTGATGAAGGCCCTTCATAAACACCAAATTGGGTTGAACTGAGCACTTTGGGACTTGAAAGAGGAAATGATATAAGACATTATGATATGATATAGGACAGATAAGACAGAAGACAGATGTTGGCATCATTTCCAAATCTGGGGTCGCTTTGAGTATGTTTGTCTTGCTGGGGCTTTTAGTAATTAACCAGACCTCAGTTCAAGTCCTAACCCTCTTACTTTCTAGGTGTGTGACTTAGGCAAGTTACATCACCTCTCTGAGCCTCCAGTCCTCATTTGCAAAATAGAGATCAGGAAGGCCAATTTGCTGAGAGTGGTGTGAGAATTAGGTGAGGTTTAAGACCCCAGCCCTGGCACATAGTAAGTGCTCAGTAAAGATAGCTCCGCAGGGCCTGCCCAGGGGGAGGGCGGAGGGTGGGCAAAGGGGCAGGGTCTCTATCCTGGCCCTGCTTTTTACCAGCTGTGTGATTTTCAGCAGGGCAAGCCAGTACTCTGAACCCCCTCTCTAAAATCAGGTGCCGATCCTGGCGAGGAGGGACTGGGGGGACATTAAGTTAAAGAAGAAGGCAGAGTTTGGGAGCAGTAGGGGGTCGCTGCTCAAGTAAACGGGGAGGACAAAGTATGGAGAGACTAGCAGAGCTTCCTGCCTTTCCTCCTGGGACTCTAGTCTAGTGGGATCTCCACGTCCCCCCATTCTCAGGCTCTCTGTCTCTTCTGGAGCACCCCCAGGGCCTCCTCTTTGGCCTCCTGGACCTGCTTTGCATCACCTCCTCCCAGTGCCCAGAGCCAGATCTGAGGATGTCACACCCCGACAGGTCTCCCCATCCTTCAGTGTGCCTCTTCTGTGAAGCCCTCACTGGCTCATTCTGCTGGCCCTGCTCACTTTCTGCCCTGTAGGTTTTGAACAGGGCTCTTCCTTGCACACACACACACACACACACACGATTGTCAACTCGGTGAGGCCAAGGTCTGCCTGGGATTCCCTTCACTCCCCACTGTGGCTGACGCAGAGCTCAAGTGTGTTTGTCAGTTGCATCCATCCTTGGGTTGCTTGTAATGGGAAACACAATCCAAACAGACTTAAGTGTCAGAGGGAGTCCTTGCCCACATAACTTGAAGGTCTATGGGTTTCAGGCATGGCTGAATCCAAGTGCTCAAAGGAAATCTTCAGGACTGTACTTCTCTTCATGACGTGGCTCTGCTTTCTTCTTCTTTGGCTTCGTTCCCAAACTGACTGACAGCCACTGGCAGCCTCAGGCCCACCCCACGGCTTAACAACCCTAGCAGAAAGAGGATATCTCTTCCCTAATATTCCTTCAGAAGTCTAGGGCTGACCCCCAGTGGCCCAGTTGGGGTTACATGCTGAGCTCTGAACAGATTGCCGTGGCTGGGGCGAAGGCGCACATGGATGCGCACATGTCCGCGCCAGAAGGTGGAGGCGCCGTGGCAGAGGGTCAGGAGGACAGGCAGGGGAGCAGAGCCAAAGGAAGGACTGGCCTCAAGGGGGAGGATATAGTGTCTGTGCTGGGGGCCCAGGAAGATGAGGCCAACAAGGGTCCACAGGTTTCCTCCACAAGGAAATTGTTGAGGACCTGGTTGGGGGGGCTGGGTTGCCGGGGGGCTGATGGAAACCAGGTGGGCAGAGGGCTGGATGTGCCCAAGACAAGCCTGCAGCTCAAAGGGTGACCCAGGGACCCGTAGCATCAGCCTCTACAGGGAGCTTGTTGGCCATGCAGGGCCTCAGGTCTCTGCCCAGACTAACCACACCAGGACCTGCATTTTAATAAGAGCCCCAGGTGGTTCTTGCCAGTTCAAGGCTGAGAAGCTCAGCTCTGGGGGGCTTGGCTGAGAAGGGAAGAGAGAGGGAGGGAGGGAGCTGGAGGGAGTGTGGGGTCAAAGGAAAGGACCTTGATTCTTCCTAAGGAGGGAGAGACTGGAGTGTGTTGTATGCTCTTAACAATGAAAAAAATTAACTTTCTGTTCACAAAGTGAAACTTCATTAATATTTCGCAGGACATCGTTTCATATTTGCATAAATCAAATGTGACCTGACTGTATTTGTTGTCTGAAAGAACAAACAGCCCGAAAGCCTCCCACTCTGGATTCTTTGGCAACGGGAGGCCTCCCAGGATCGTTTCTTGCTGGACGAGGACACCAGGTGCTGCGAGCGCCGCAGAGACTCCGGGGAGAACGCCAAAGGCCACCCCACTTCCGTCCTGTCTCCCTTCTTTGTGTCCCCCTGTGGCTCCCCGAAACTCTGCTCCAGGCCCACAGGGCCCCTCGTGTTGTTCACAAAGAGGGTGCTGGAAAAGGAGGTTGAGGGAATGGATGCTGTCATATGTGTCACTGGGCCAGAATGGCCTTGTGAGCCACCTCTGTCACTGTGTCCTCAGGCCATAGGTCCATGGGACATGAGGATGACCTAGAGAGGCTGGAGCTCAGGGATCGCTTTGTGCAGGGTGTGGGGAGACCTCCGGTCTTGGGGCCCTCCCCTCACTGTGGGTTCCCTAAGCCCCAGCTCTGGCACCTCCGAGATGGGGTTTCTTGGCTGCCACACTATGAGCCATAAAACCAGGGCGTTGCAAAGGGACTTGGCTTCCTCCATCTGCTTCTTGTGGTACCAGTGGGGAAACTGAGGCCAGAGCAGCATGGGGGACTTGATGGACAGTTTGTAGGCCTGGATACGAACCTAGGGCATCTCTTCCCTGAGGCTCTAGACAGCCCCATCTCCTACTGTTCTCTGCCAGAAGACCTGGGTTGGAATTTCACTCTGCCTCCGTCTAGCTGTGTGGAAATGGGACAAGCAGCTAGCCTCTCTGAGCCTCAGTTTCCTTATCTGCAAAGCAGAGATATTAACAGCCACCTCTTAAGGTGGCTGTGAAGACCATATGGATGAAGAGCACAGCACAGGGCTGGACACAGAATAAAAACAAGTAGCTAAAAGGGTGCCTCAGTGGCTCAGTGGGTTAAGCATCTGACTCTTGATCTCAACTCAGGTGTTGATCTCAGGGTTGTGAGCTCAAGCCCTGCATTGGGCTCCACACTGGGTGTGGAGCCTACTTAAAAAACAAACAAACAAATAGCTAAAGTCTATTAACTACCATAATGTTACTGCTGTTATTAGCCCCATTTCTCTAATGGGGAGACTGAAGCACAGACAGGTTAAGTATCCTAGTAGGCTGAAGAACTGGGATTTGAGCCCATGAATTCTGACTCCCTAGCCTTCATATTTAGTCATATCACTTCTCTGAGCCCCAGTTTCTCCACATTTAAAATGGAGCTAATGATATCGATTTTAAGGGATGGCTTTGAAAATCAAGCAAGAACGGGGTTCTGGGTGGCTCAGTCGGTTAAGCATCTGCCTTTGGCTCAGGTCATGATAGCAGGGTTCCGGGATCAAGTCCCGCATCAGGCTCCTTGCTCAGCGGGGAGTCTGCTTCTTCCTGTCCCTCTGCCTGCAGCTCCCCCTGCTTGTGCTCTGTCTCTCTCTGTCAAATAAATAAATAAAATCTTAAAAAAGAAGAAGAAGAAGAAAATCAAGCAAGATCACGAAAGCCGAGTGCCCAGCACAGTGTCTGACATAAAAAATGCTGCTTTACCCAAGTAGCTTCAGTCCGGGTGTAAGAGACATGGATTAGCAGGGGCATGGCTCCACCTTGTGGTGCAGTCTTGGAACTGCACCCCTCACCCAGCTGTCCTGCCAGTCTGTTCTGGTTACTCCTGCAGGGCGCCGAGGGACGGGTGGAGGGGGCAGCTGAAGCCGGTACAGTTTCCACCCCTATCACTGCAGGGGCTGGTCTGTGGGAAGCAGGGGTGACGCGGAGGGTTTGACTGTGGGTTCGACTGTGGGTTCTCACACCCCCTTGAGGTTTCCTATCCACATCTTTGCCCAGTTACTCCCTCTGCCTCATCATTTGTAGACTGTTAGTTGGTGGAGGCAGTTTGCTAAGCAGGCTCTGCACCTAAGCTTTCTTCATGCATTTTCTCAGGATTACCCTGTAAGATGGGGGCTATTCTCACTCCCATTTGGTAGAGGAGGAAGCTGAGGTTCAGAGAGACCATGGAAGAGCAGGATTTGAACTTGGGTCTACCTGACTCCAAAGCCTGTGCCCTTCCTTGTTGCACCAAAGAGCTGTGACAGGGGCCACCCCCTCCCTGAAACACGCAACCTTATCATGAGAGTCCCCTGCACAGAAAGGGTTCCCCTGCTCATTCCCGCCCACCCATCGGGAAGATCCTAGGGTTCCCAGGGCCTCTGAGGCCTGGATTCTGACCTTCTGGGACCTTAAATGTGTGTTATCTTATCCCGAAGTGTATCCTAGACACTGAAAAAGTGGCTTTGGAGCAGATTTCTTATACGGGAGGGGAAGGCAGAGGACAGACAAGCGGGAGCTGAGGGTGCAGGGTCAGAGGGTCTCACGGGTATAGCCCCCACCGCCTCTGAGTCCTAACCGGCTCACAGCTAGTCAGCAGCCTGGCTTTGTGCGGCTTACTGGGATGCCATCGCCCTACTGGACAGAACACTGCCCCAGCTTCGGGGGCCAGTGAGAATGCTCCGACCCTCGGCCTTGGAGCACATGTACCTCCTGATGGGGGCGCGAAGCTCACAGCCTGGCCTTCCCCCATTACAGCGCCTTTGGTTCAGTTCTTAGAGGCTTTTCTGCCTTACCCAGCGCCATGCCGAAATACCTTCCTGGAGAGGTGTTCCATCTCACCGGTCCTGAGCACATCCAAAGCCAGGCTCTAACGAAGGGACCATTTGCAGCTTGGCCGCAGGAGATTGCCGGTGTGTGAATGAAGATGACAGTCCCTCAAGATGGGGTCAGAGAGTTCCACAGGGACTCTCCAGGGTTTAAACCTCCTTACCATAGTCCTGGCAGGGGTGCCATGCTGATCCTACAGCCAGAGAGTGGGTCTCTGCACCTGGCACTAAAGAGAGACATGAAAAGATGTCGCTGTGAGACAGGCCTGTAGTGGCCGTGGGTTTTCCAGAGGCCCCTCTGGCCTCCAGTCATGTCCTTTGCCGTGTCCCCAACACTCATCATTGAGGGATAGGCCTTTAGAGACTGGGCGTATTTTACAGGTGGGAGAGGAGAGACCCAGAGAGAGAATGGGACTGGTATGAGGTCATCTGGAGAGTTGGGAGCTGAACTATGGCTTGGACTTGGGTGTCAGGATGGCCCAGGCCAGGGCTCTCTCTGGTCATCTTCCCTGGCTTTCACCACAATCATGGAGAACTCCCAGGGAAGCGGCTTAGAGGGCTCCCCGATGAGCCAGGCCATCCCTGGTTCCCCAGGGAGACTATAGGCTGCCCCTCCTGCTTGAGGGGCATCTCGTCTCCTCCCCTGCCTCTCGCCAGGGACCCAATCTTGGTGAGAAACATAGAGGACGCAAAGGTGGCCTGAGGCAAGCTATGATGATAGTTCTGAATTCTGGCCAGGAAAGCATAGAGCATAGGGGATTGGGAAACAGAATGAAAACAGTGATGTGATTAAACAAACAAACAAACAAACAAGAAAACAAAACTCTTCTAAGACTCAGAAATCAGTTGGTTTTATTGGGAAGCTTCTCACAATAGAATTGTGGAATATCCCAGAAATCTCACCACAATGCTCTTTACCATAACATGGGATAGCCTGGAAACTTAACCGTAATACTAAGAGCAAACTCACTTTAACACCAAGAGAATGGGCTAGCCCAGAAACCCGATGGTAATATCTTCACTATGGAATGAGATATCCCAATAAGTGACTGTAATCGTGAAATATTTTAGGAACACCATTACAGTAGTCTTTCCTATTGGGTAGGATATCCCAGGAATCCCATAACACTGATCATCACGGAGTAGAAAATTTCAGCAATTTTATTGAAGGGTTAATTATTATAAGTGAGTGAATCTCTTGACAAAACTCTTCACCACGGAGTAGGTTAGTTTAGGAGCTCCACCTTGATGCTGGTGACTATGGAGTGGGCTATCCCAAGAACTCGGCTCTAACACTGATCACTATGGAATGGGCTACTTCAGAAAAATTTACAACAAGAATCACAATGGAATCGGAGACCCTAGAGTTCTAGTGTAACAGTAACCACTATGGAATGGGCTATCTCAGGAACCCCACTGTAACACTGGTCACTGTGGCATTCCTATCCCAAAACCCAGCTTTAGTGCTCATTATGGATCAAAATACAGATTCTGTGTCAGGTGGGCTCTCCATGGCCCCAGGACTTTACGCTGGCTTTCAGAACCCGTGAGAAAGGACTGCTCAACACTGAAGAAAGCGGTGGGGTTGGGGGATGATGGGGATGGATATAAGAAGAAAAACTTACTTTCGCTCAGCCAGTTAATGAAAGAGGCCGGGAAGTGTTTGTCCTGGGGAAAACCAGAAAGCCTCCATTAATTGAGCACCATCTGTGTGCCAGGCCCCGAGCCTCTCATTTGATCCTCACAACAAATTTGCAATATAGGGATTATAGACAGGGGGGAAAAGGAGACTCGGAGATGTAAATAGTTTGCCCAGGTCTTACAGTTAGGGTGGCAGAGCTCTTCCTAAAATCTGGACCTCCACCTTTGACCCTGGACAGCTGAGTGCTGGAAGGCATGGGGCTGCTGGTTCCAAGGTCCCTGAAGATCCTACTTTGTGGAACAAACACCCGCCTCATAATCAGAACTTCCCATGAACCGAGGTGCTGGTAGGATGATGTTCATGCTTAGAAGAAGCTCAGACGGGAGGCATGCAGGAGAGGCCACCATGGACCACTCCTCCAGCATGGACCCCATATATTGTGATGCCAAGTAACTAACTTGATTGTTTTGTTTTGTTTTTTAATATTTAAGTCAAGGGGAAGGGGGAATAAACCACAAAGTTTTGAGTCCCTACTCTGTGCTGGACAAATAACCAGACATCTTCTCATCTAATCATTATACTGTATTTCATGCTCGTCAAGACACCATTGATTAAGATATACATTATTTAGTGTGCCATTGAGGATTTTTTTAAATTGCCAACTAGACTATACCACTGAATATAAGACACACACCAATTTCAGAAACATTACAATGTGGGGGAAATGTGTGTCTTGGAACAGATGATCTATGATCACTTCGTATGGGTCTGGTAGATGAGAACGTTGAGGCATGGGGAGGTAAGGGGATCTGCCCAAGTGTGCACAGCCAAGCATCAGCCAAGCCTGCTTGCCTCCAAAACCACGGCACATGCGCCTCTCTTAACAGCGCGGCTGTGGCACATATTCCTGGCCCAGGGGACCCCAGGGAGTGATGGGGCGGGGCCTCCACTGAGCTTGTCTCAGATGCAAAGTTATGGCTGGTCTCAGAAGATTCCTCAGGAGAGAACCCGCTGCTCGTACCTGAAAGTCCAGGTGATAATGCGGCTCAGACAATGGGGGCACTTGGATGAGAGCAAAGGCTCCTAAATAACCCGAGGCAGTGGACATCTGAAGGAGACAGAGGGACAGAGGTGACGGTGGGAGGGAGGACAAGAGGAGACCCAAGGGATCAAGCTGACTGCAGTACCTTCGTAAAACTCCTTCCTTTGTCCCTGTCTTATACAGACTTCCCAAGGGGGAGATGATTCCCAAACTTCTAGAAAATACATGGTAGCCCCAGAGCTCCACAGTCTTCCAGCGCAAGAGAGCAGCACATTCTTAACTTGGCACATAGCAATCTGTCCATCCGTCCGTCCGTCCATCCGTCCGTCCGTCCGTCCATCCGTCCATCCAGTCTCCTTCTTGCCTGCCTTACCGTCATCGTTCTCTTATCTTCCGATCCGTCCACCCACCCATCCACCTGATGTTCCCTCCCTCTCCTTCTCTCCTTCTCTTCCGTTCATCCATCTATCTTGTATCCATCTCTACTGTTTCCTTTTTTCGTCCATCACTCTTTCAACTAATCCACACATTATCTCTCCACACATCTATCCATCATCCCTCTTCCCACCCACCTAGTAATAGACCCTCCTTTCTTTCCATTCATCCCGGCACCCATCCATCCATACATGTGCCCTTTCACACGTCCATCCTTTTATTCAACCACCCTTACTTCCTTCTCTACTTTCATTATTTTATCCATTCTTCCTCCCTTTCCTTCTTTTCATCCATCCTCCTTCATCTTTCCTGTTTCTCTTATAGCCATCTCATTTTCCTGTCTTCCCTCTATTCATCCCTCCACCTAAAATCCCCTTCCTCCATTCTCCCTTCCTTCCATTCTGTTTTCATCATATTCTGTCCACTCCTCCTTGTATTTACCTATCCACTCATTCATCTTCTATCCACCCATTCCTTCATCCATGTTTTCACTTCTCTATTTTACCCTTCATTCACACTTCTGTCCTTTGTTCCATTCATCCACGTCCCCCCCTTTCATCTCCAGTTCGTACTCCAACAAAGTAGATATGGAGTGCCCACTGTGTGCTCATCCATAAGACAAACACAAGAAACACCACAACAGAGTCCCTCCCCTCAAGGAGCTTCTGTTCTAGTGGAAGAAGCTGACAATTACTACACAATATGGTAAGTGTGATGGATAGGTGTGCAAACGTCATGGCTGTCCTGAGCAGGGAGCCATTCTACCTGGAGAGATCTGGAAAGGCATCGGGGAGGACAAACCATTGGAGTCCCACCTTGAAGGGGCGTGGGATTTTTCCAGGCAGAAGGAGGGCGTAAGAAGTCATTCAGAACAAAGCTATGATGTGTCAAAAAGGCCTGGAGTGTATGGGATATATTTGAGATCAGCGGGCTGGAGTAGCAGGAGGGCGCCAGAGGAGAACGGGGCTGGAGCAGTCGCAGGAGAGACCTTGACTGCCAGCTCTGGGGGCTTTGAATTTGATCTTCTTGGTAATGGGAAGCTACAGAAGATTCTGATCAGAGGTGTGATTCAGAAAAACCTCTCTGGAAGCCATGAAGGGGAGAAAATAGGAGTGTGTGGGTTGGCGGGGAGGGGCTACTGCAATGTCTCAGCAAGAGGGTAATGCTCAGGTCCATAACACATCTTACTTTTCAGGATGCTCAGCTGTTGACTGATGATGTAGAACCAGAATCGGACCACTGGGCACAGCTGAAATGCAGATGAGCAGAGGCCTCTGTGACAGGAGACTTGGGCCACCCTTCCAGCCCAGCCCAGCCCAGCCTCTGACTGGCCATGCACAGTGGAGTGATTTTATCAGTCTTTTGTAGACACAACACAAATCTCCCTCTTCCACAGGTGAAAACTACTTGACACACATTAGTCCCTCTATAAGTGTCCCTTTCTCTCCCCTTTCCCGCAGCATCAGGGACCCGGACAAAGGACAGGGCAGCAAAGTTCTGGGACGCTGGAGGGCCCAGCCTGCATGGGCTGCCTCTCCCTACCTTGGCTCTTCCTCTGTGCCTCCAGCTGATCTGCAGGGTCTGCTGGGCCCACCTTGTCAAACTTACCATGTTGGGTAAGGAGTTCCGCAGAGCCCGTTTCAGCATGACTTTTGTCACTGAAGAGAGCAGGCTGGGAAGGGGAACAGGGACATTTAGAGTAACAATAATTATAGCTAATAGTTACAAAATGTTTTTTCCACTCCAGAGACGAGTCTAAGCCCTTTGGCATCTGCTAACTCAAATGACCGTAATAGTTAAAAACACAGATTGTTTGCCTCACAGAGCGCTACTTCCTGGCTGTGTGACCTTGTCCAATTTATATAACATTTCTGTGCCTCTCATGTATAATATGTAAAATAGAGTTGTGGTGAAGATTCAATAAGTGAAAGAAAGAGATGGATTGGAGGACAACCTATTGTCAGTAGGGCATCTAGTGCCTCCTAAGCAGGTGGTAACTTTTACCTTCCTTGGGACTTGATTTAAGGTGCATAGAAGGCATTTCCTCTTAGACATCATGTTCTAAAATAGTGGTGCTAAGTGGTAGGTCGCAGGCCAAAGAGGCCCGCAGGTGTGATTTCTTCTGCAAGGACAGTCTTTTAAAATTTTACAGTGAGTTTTCAGAATTTAAAAATTAAGTAACTTTACATAAAAATCCAAATGTCCAGTTTCTGTTTAAGATACAGGAATCAGACAAGACTAGGCCCACCTTCCCAAATGGCCAGTCAGCTGGAGCCAAAGAGGGGCTGCCATCTTCAGATGAGGCATATAATGTTTGGTTTGCCACAGCCCACCATTCTCCATTGTATCCATAAAATTGAAATTGAACTTGTATGTTGTATTTCTCTTAACTGGAGGCCACTTACTAATTTCTGCTAATTTCTTACCCCTAATGGGCATTTACATTTATGATCTTTATTCTAAGGCATTGAATTCAGAATCTGGGAGCTAGAAAGGACCACAGACATCAGGCAGTTGGGTTCTCAGGCTAGCCTGCCTGTCTTTCTAAACCCTGAGTTTTAGCGCTCATCTGTGATTTACAGTGTCTTTCCTAACCATGAAATAATGATCCTAGATATCATCTGTTAGGTGGTGGTTGGGTTCCGAGCCCAGCCTCTGGACTCATTTTTAGGGACTGGTCTGTCTGAAATATAGTGCTGCAGAATCTGATTAACCCTTAGCCTATTTCTCTTAAACTAAGTAAGCATGCATTTTTAGACCTCATCAGTGAACCAAGCTTAGGTTTTTAGGGGAGACCACAAAAGTGTTTTTGAGCCATCAGTTTATTTTTTTACCTTTCAGTTCATCCCTCCATCCATACACCCATCCATCCTGTATCCATCCATCCATTCATCCATCCACCCACCCATCCATGCATGCATCCATCCACCCACCCACCCATCCATGCATGCATCCATCCACCCACCCACCCATCCATGCGTGCATCCATCCACCCACCCACCCATCCATGTGTGCATGCATCCACCCACCTACCCATCCATGCGTGCATGCATCCACCCACCCACCCATCCATGCATGCATGCATCCATCCACCCACCCATCTATGCATGCATCCATCCATCCACCCACCCATCCATGCATGCATCCATCCTCCCAGCCACCCATCCTCTTACTTATCCATTCATCTGCCCATCCGACCATCTACTCATTCTTCTTTGTCTTTTTCTCCAGTGTATCTCCAGGAACAACACTATAGTGACTGGCTCAATATTTGTTGAGTAAATAAATGAAAAAATGAGTGATAAATATAAGGCAGCTCTGCTCCCGCAGAGCTCATGTAGGCATACACACTCAGTTACAACATAGTGTGAGAAGTGATATGTGACAGAGATCCTTCCCAGGATCTCTCTGCCCAGGATCCTGCCCAGACAAGGGACCATGCAATACTCAGGGCCACTTTCAGGGAAGACATGTGCTTCTAGCAAGAAGCTAACCTCTCCTGTTTAGAAATCTAGGTTCCCTGGTGGAGAAACCTGGGCAGACGTTGGAATGAGAAGAGAGATGTTCTGGTGGTGTGGCTTGCTGTACCCTGGCTGTGGTACCCCGTGAGCCTGGTAGTTGCCACTATGCACAGCATTGTCCCCCACTGCACCCTGCACAGCGCTCAGCCCTCCCTGCATAGTACCTACCGTGTTTGCATGTGGATCCCGGTGAAGACTGGCTCACAGTTCTGCAGAGTGAGTGAGACTTGGCCGGATCTGGTCTGGGGTAGTGCTAAGGGAGTCTTGATGGTCACATCCAGTGTGGAGCCACTGAGGAAGCTGAGCAGCCTAGACACCCAGCAGGAAGACAGTGTGAGCTGAGTTGCTGGGGAAACTCCAGGTGGGGGCCGAAGCAAGAGTGGCCTGGGAAGTCATAGCCAAGACACTCCCTGGGTCCCAGGCCAGTCCTACGGGCAAGTCACTGGGCTTGTTTTCTCCACTTCTGCAGGGCAGGAAAACTTCCCTTTCCAGAGCAAATGTTTGGGGCTGTTCTAAAGACTTCCCTCAAACTTGGAAATAACCACAGGCATTTGTGGGCCCGAAAGGTGACCTATACACATTAATGTTTTTAAATGATGCCTGCTCATGGGATCCTGGGTGGCTAAGTCGGTTAAGCATCTGTGTTTGGCTCAGGTCATGATCCCAGGGTCCTGGGATCGAGTCCCACATTGGGCTCCCTGCTCAGCGTGAAGTTTGCTTGTCCCTCTCTCTCTGCCCCTCCCCCCTGCTCATTCTCTCTCTCTCTCTCAAATTTTTAAAACTTAGAAATAAATAAATAAAAGATGCCTGCTCTTCAGTATATATTTTTAACTTAATTTGTTTTTTAATATATATTAGAAGGTAAGTTAAAGTAAATGGTTTGGTTTATTTTTTAACAGGTAATAAATTTTCATGGTTCAAGATTCAAAAGAAAAAGAATGCACAGTGACAAGCCCGTCTCCCACCAATGATCCCCAGCCCCCCAGCAACCCGTTGGGATCACACACATCATCAGTGCCCTCTATGCCTCCTTCCAGAGCTATTATATGCACATCCCCATCCATACATATATAGTTTAATTTAATGTCTCTGATCTTTTGTTTTCTCTTCTGTAAAATGGGCATAATAGCAGTACTTTCTTTCTAAGGTTATGGTGAATAATATATTATATATATATATTTTCATAAAATAATTCATATATATAATTCATAAAAGCCTCAGCATGGTGCCTGGAATATATTAAGCACTCAATAATATTTGTTATATTTTATCACCACAGTCATCTCTTTGGAGGACAATTTGGCAATACTTACCAAAAGCTATAAATTACACTTCTGAGAATTTCTAAGTAAATAATCAGAGATCTGAACAGATATTTATTTATTTTTAAAGATTTTATTTATTTATTTGAGAGACAGAGAGT